GATGAATAGGTTGCGCGCCTCATCTTGTTGGCGAGAACAAATTGTGCTTGGTAATCAAAGAGAACTGGAGCCCTAACAGCCACATTATGCCATTCTTTGATGTATTTTCAAAGCCTGTTTTTTTTTTTTTTTTTTTATCCCAGCCTAATTAATCAGTATAATGAAGAATTTAGATGCAGTGGGTGATGTGGGTGACATTGTGTTTTAGAGGCAGACACTATGGCGAAGGAGCTGTATTCACTGAGCTGTCATCTTCGCAGACAAACTTGCAATCACAGGACTAAAAGGTGAAATGACAACCGGCACCGATGATGTGATTTGCATTGCTACAGTGTTGGAGGATATCAGACATTTAATTTAGAGAATCTGAATGAGGGTTAATATGGCACAGCTCTGAATAAAGCTGTGCGCCCATCTGCAATGGGAGGATTAAAAATCATGAAATGAATTAGATGGTTAGAAAAAAAATGTGTTACAGGCTGGGATTGAAGATTTGAAATTAAATCTCTGATTTACAAAATGTTGGCAGTGTTCAGGAACGGTAACGATATCATAAGGGAATATTTGTTCTCTGTAAAATGATTTGTTTTGAAGCATTTAAATTAGGACCAGCCTGTTGCTGGAGGCATTAGCGTAAATGATTGGCTGTAAATTATGATTCAGTAATGAGAGGCAGAAGTGAGGAGGGAATGAGAGTTTAGAGTATGGTGCACCTGTGTTCGGTTGACATTTATAAGCCTCCTCTGCTTGTTAGTTTTGCCTAATAAGTCTTTTAAAGGCTCTTATCGCCTTTCAATGGTATGCAATTTTCATATTTTCTTTCACATGATAATTACAGAAATTAGGTTATGAGACAATCAGCCTCGGGTTGCCGCAAAGTCTTTGATACTGCTTTTATATGTTGCAACAATCCTTACACAAATTGACAATCTGAGCTAATTTTAGAGGGAATTACTGTTTCCTCAAGAAAAAGCTGATAGCCTGTAATTTCCCAGATGTCTCCTCTCTGTTTTTCCCTGTCTATCCATGAAATATGTGCAAATAGTTGCAGCCATTCCTACATAATGACACTACTATTTTGAAGCCAAACATGTTCAATATTAATGCTTCAGCCTCAGACAGCCGGGGCGAGAGTCTGGGGTTGTTCAGACGTCAATCAAACCTCTGTGGTCCATTGTTTTTTTCACCTTTCATTGCGATGAGGCTGCACTTTTCCCTCTGCCAGTGGCAATGACTGTAATCCATGTAAACACAGCGAGCGGCCCTTGTGGCTTTTTCCTGCGTGCCAAGACAAGCCGTGGAGACGTCCTGTCTCATGATAACTTTGTCACTGTTGGGGGGAGCGGGGAAGAAGTTTGGGGAGGATTGGGGGGGGGGGCTTGTCATGTGGGCCTCTATCCACTCTCTCACACAGCGGCAGGACTGCTGGCCTTGTCGCCTCCGGCCCCTGCGTCTGCTGTTGACGAGCGCCGCTGTCGCTCCGGTCGTCCCCACGTCTCAATAAGCCGCTCCCTGCTGCTGACAGCTCCTGACAGGCCTGCAGCTCAGCCTCTGTGCTCACCTGAACACACTGTCCCGCTGACCCCACAAAGAATGGTTAATAACTGCATTTTACCTTTTTTACTCACAGGTGTAGAGCTGCTTCTTTGAGCGAGACTATGTAACATTTAAGGAGGAGATAACACAATCTGCCTTTAATAGTGTAAACGTTTGCTCCGACAACCTTACTTGGTCTAGTTTGACCAGAGGCTTAGAGTTCAATAATGTTAGCAAAAATCAGTCAAATATTGCTGTTTAGCTGACATGACAGTCAGTGTGCTGGCCGTCTTACTCTTAACCATTATGCCATGTTTTAGTGTGTCAGATAAATTCATATTTACAGTGCTTCTGTTCTCAGACCTTCATCAAGTAAACTTCATATAGACTCTGGTTTGTTTATATGAGGTTTAACTGATGAAGTGATGATTTTTCCAGTCATAGTTTTGGATGCAACACAATTGATGTGACTGGCAAAAGGAGTAGACCTTAGGCTTCCCCAAAACAACAAGGCCGCACCTTGACCAAAATGTATCCTCACATTACCCATACTAACTTAAACTAATGTATGATAAAACAGGGGTGATGATTATTTTGTAGCTTTTAGATGAAACAGCAAATTTGTAGTTAACGGTATAAAAAACAGCAAGGCTGTAACTTTCATATGAGTAAGATTATTGTTTGATTGGCTATGGATGAATGAGACTTTTATGTTGGACCAAACATATAGGGCTTAATGCACTGAGGGTCAACTCTGGGAATGCTGCCATTGAAGTTTCTTTGAGGTTGAATGTTTTGAGAGGCAAATGACAAAGAACAACATATCCAGATGCTGAAAATGTGTTTTCATTTCCTAATAGTATTTCTGTTGGATTATAGTCAGAAGTAAATACTTATGCAAGGTTGAAGAAAATGCGGTTTAAGACTGTAGTATTTTCCTAAGCCGTGCTTGAAGGGAGCGTAATAAATGATTAAAAATGTAGCAAAGAACCAGAACCACATCAATATTCACAGACCGGGGCTGAAATGTGGCTGGACGGACTGACCATATAGTCTTATGCATTTTTGATGAGCAGAATCCACTGGAGAGAAAGCAGCTGGTAGTCAGTCATAATAAAGGTCAGAAGGTACTTGACTGGTTTGTGTTGTAAGAATTGGACAAATTGTCCACTGCAGTGATTTTCAACAAACGGTAGTTGTAGCAGTTGCAGCTGGTGGGGGCGGATTATGGAGTAGCTCAAGTAATTTGAAAAGATAGGAATTACAATCAAGACCTATCTATCTATCTATCTATCTATCTATCTATCTATCTATCTATCTATCTATCTATCTCGTTGAAACAATTCATAATGGACAAATAGAAATATACACTATATTTTGAATATTTTCACTTTATTTTTTTCGCTGTCAAACATCCCATTCCTTTGGCACTACATTTTCTCAACTGTTGAACTAATGTATCCCTCCGCACAAGTGCACTTACAGAGTGCACTATATTACTCTGCAGATCACTAATCTTTATATTCTTTTATTTGCCCTTTCTTCTACAAACAACTCCACCAGCTGATCTGCGGTGCAATGCAGTGCGCGGCGTAGGCCGCTTGTGCGTCGGAATACGGTAGTGCAGCGGCTCACAAACTGTAGTGCCAGAGGAAGGGAAGATAAAGTGCAGAAAATAGTGTATAAATCTAGCGTACATTTAAACTGATGATTGCTTTTTGTCAGTGGGCAGTTTTTTTAGAGCGACTAAAACACATTTTTATGGATGGCCCCGTCCACAGCAGCATGCCGCTCAGGTTCTGTGCCGGTGCTTCTGGCTGCCTCTCCAAACTGATATGGTGTCGATCAGAATGTCCTGCAGTTAATACACTGACTATAGATAAGTATCTCACACAACCCCTCGTCAAAACACTCAAGCAATAAGACAAAGGGGTGCTCGAATTCATCTGGCAGAGTTGTGGGGATAGGCCACATCAGACAAAAAAGGTTTGGGAGGCACCAGATCCTGAAGGTCATGTTTAAGGTCATCATTTGGCTGGAGAATCAGTCTCTCTGGTAAAATGGACTGCATATAGTAAACCGACCACTAATCAGAACAGGGTACTCGTCAGTCATGTCTCTGTCGTTAGAAAATGGGATCAATTTCTTTGTTGGGATGAAACAAAAATGCTAACACGAGGCAAACTGTCTCTGTGCGTGGGGAACGGGTCATGTTTTTCCTTCCACAAATAGATACATCAATTGTAATGGCTGTCATTTTGGCGGCACAACTGGGAAAGCTTTAAACAGATTTGGCACCAGACAGACAGATGGCTCAACCGCACGGATCAGTGTGACAATAAAACCAGAGCCCAAAGAATCGAATCAACCCCCAGAGTAATTACATTCTAACTATTGGTCTACCTTTTCCATTTGCTGATGCCATTGTTATCAGGGACGTCATCTCTCAGCTCCTGTGTGCAACAGGTCCACTTGTGGAGAATTTATTTCGTGGCTGTAATGATGTTGCATGCGAGGGCCTCGTATCCTCCGGGACAATAAGAGTGAGAAGAGGATGAAATGAGACAAAAGGTTGACACTTAACCTGAAATATGCCGGAAGGAAGATCAAATCCATCCTGAAATTCATGAGCTCTACGCTGTGAGTGCATACAGAAACCCTCTGTGAGTCATGCCATATCTGAAACTGGCTGGTGGTGATCACTCGACAGTATTCTCCAAAGGGCCATTTCAGTAAACGTACACGTCACTGACGATATGTTTATACGGCGAGTGTTTTATCAGCCATTATCTGTTTTATGGGGAATACATGAAAGGAAAATCCTCCTCTAAACTTTGACATGACATGCTCTGTGCCATGAAATCGACTAATTAACTAATTAGTTTCACCGGGAATTTTTATTCTAGTTCTATTCTTGTTTTTGGGCTTTTCAAAAGGCTCAGCAGAGTGCACACAAACTGCACTGCTGGCTTTTGCTATTACGCTGTAGGGGTCTTATGATCCGAGGATTCAAAGGACTGCAGGATAAAGAGCGGTTTTATTACACAAACAAAATAAGGACCAACAATTGCAACCGACCCAATGGTGTCCTGTTTATTTGATCTGGAAAAACGTAGCGGACTAATTAGGTGCAAATGTACTCATTAGCTGAAGCCACTCCACTGAGCGATTGGGTCAATGAATTATTCAAGCTCTCTCTCCCATACACGACATCAATACTTGGCCATTCCTGCCACACTGCTGTGCATTCTCATCTCCAATTGCATTCTGCCGCCGTGAAATGAAGAGTCTTTGAATTTATCAGAAGTGCTGCTCAAAGAATACAAATCATTTATATCTGTCTGCTCCAGGTTTGACGATCTTCCCAGCCCGCAGGCTTCTCCTCTCAGACCCCTGTCCTCTGCACTGTGGATTTAATTAGTTCTGCCCCAGTAACCCTGCTCCTTTCTCCTTCTTTCCCTCAGGATATGGCCACGCAGCCCCCAGCACAGATGGAGGGAAGGTGTTCTGTATGCTCTACGCCCTCCTGGGCATCCCTCTCACCTTGGTCATGTTCCAGAGCGTAGGTGAGCGGATCAACACCTTTGTCAGGTACCTGCTCCACCGCCTGAAGAAGTGCCTTGGCATGAGGCACACTGAGGTCTCCATGGTCAACATGGTGACCATCGGTTTCATATCCTGCATGAGCACGCTGTGCGTAGGGGCGCTGGCCTTCTCCCACTTTGAGGGATGGAGCTTCTTTCATGCCTACTACTACTGCTTCATCACGCTAACCACCATCGGCTTCGGGGACTATGTGGCGCTGCAGAACGATCACGCTCTGCAGAACAAGCCGGAGTACGTGGCCTTCAGCTTCATCTACATCCTGACGGGTCTGGCTGTGATCGGAGCCTTCCTCAACTTAGCAGTGCTGCGCTTCATGACCATGAACGCTGAGGACGAGAAGAGGGATGCAGAGCAGAGGGCTCTCCTCGCTCATAACGGTCAGGCAGGCGGGCACATTAACTGCTCCGTGGACCCGGCCTCCTCCTCCTCCACGCCGTCCGGTTGTGGCGGAGGGAGCGCAGTCGGAGGCAGCGGCGGAGGCGCGGCGAGCCGAGGTCTACGCAACGTTTACGCTGAGGTGCTCCACTTCCAGTCCATGTGCTCCTGCCTTTGGTACAAGAGTAGAGAGAAACTGCAATACTCCATACCCATGATCATCTCACGTGACCTCTCCACCTCGGACACCTACATGGAGCAGGGAGAGGCTTTTTCCAACCCCCTCCACTCTAATGGCTGTGTGTGCAGCCTGCAGCGTCACTCGGGCATCAGCTCGGTTTCCACGGGCCTGCACAGCATCAACACCTACAGAAGACTCAATAAACGCAGAAGCTCCATTTGAACCAGGAGACATCATGCTTTAAGGTCAAGTCCCACTAATGTCCATGTGGAGAGGGAGGCCCCTCCTACTGTGGTACTAGATTAGCCGTGGACATCAGGGAACACAACTCCAGTCCTAAAGGAACGCAGTACTCCTGATGTTTGCTTCTTTCTGGCACTGAAGAGCCTGGTGCTGCAGTCTCCAGGCTCCAGCCATGTATTTAACTTCCATTAGCTGAGCACAAACCATTTAGGACTAACATTGTTACCGATGCCACTGAGAAATAATGCTAATGGTTGTTCAAGAAGCATTCGTTACACAAACTCTGAAGCTGTTTCTGTTGGAAGACAGGGAGAAAGAAAAACGTGCAGTTCTCTCTGCACCTCTGAATTCTAATATTAAAAATCATAGTATTGAATTCAGCTGTTTCTTTGTTCGTAAGACAGAATTAAATGTTCTAATATGAAAAGGGACAAAATACACTGTGAGACATGTTTTTAAGAGGGAGATTGGGGGTGTATTAACTGTATATAATCCCCCGCTAAGAAATATTTTATTGAATGATCTTCAATCCACTTTTTTCAAAAGACTTTCCAGAAGGAATCTTGGGTTGTAAGTATTATACTCACTTCAAAATGTGTATATATTTGGACACTTCATTAGTAGGTGTTATTGAGGGAAAGCCTATTTTTTCAGTGAAAGTTTTCAGAAAATAATCTCAGTGTCTTCTCCTGTGTGTCTGTAACTAAGAGTTTGTGTTCAAGCCAAACTGTCTGATCTGCTTCGTGTGTTTTCCTTCCATTAGTAGAAGAATCACATTACAGGCATTTCAGAATAAGCAATGAGAACAAGCAGGTTCTGGCGTAAATCTCTTGCTCAAGAAGGGGACACTCGCTGGCTGTTGCAGGGAGTGAAACCCTGTGACGGTGTCTCTAACCACTAAGCCTCCCTGCTGCTCCTTTCAGACCTTACTTTATTTTGTACAAATCTTTTTTCTTTTTTGTTTCTTCCTGTGCATCAAACTGTTTTATGTACTTGTTGCTTGTCATATGTTTTCATATAGCACAACTATATTCTGATCTGTTTAACTTAGAGCATGTAAGCTCACTTTGTGCATAATAGAAAGTCATATCTTATTCACTGCTGCACCTTAGAGACTGTTGTATATGCTTTAGGACACTGGAATTCAGTGCACTATTCTATTTTATTTTTTTAATGGAATCACTTTATGTTTTTGTTATGGAAATGATACGCCCTGATTAATTTTTGCTTCTGTTGTTATAGTCTGAGATATTTGAATTAATACTCTGTGTTGTGGATGATTCAGAATAACTGCAGTACACCTCACTTTAAAAAAAAAAATGGCCTCAGAGTTTGCACCTCATGCACTTATAGGGGGTATTTGCTCCAAACCCCAAAAAACACACTTGATTCAGCCAACTGAGGTCTTTATGCAGTGTTTATTTTGTTTTATGTTGTAGTCCTCTAAAGGAGTATTCTTACATAATCATTATTTTTTTTAAGTTTACTTTACAATGTCTGAATATGTTAGTCATATCACATTAATTTCACTTACATTTTCATCCTTTTTTTCTACTGGAACCTTCTTATTAACTGCAATATGCCTGTTAATGTTGTCCAGCATTTCTCAATAAGTGACGGAGGGGCTGTGGTCGGCTATGTGTGTGGCTACACATTTAAAGTTTTTTTTTTTTTTTCTTTAACAATAATAAAATATGGTTTAATTTAAAACAATAGTTCATTTGAGTGTTGGCTGAATTAATAAATTTGTTCATGTTATTTTCTGGTAAAATATATGTTTATGTGTTATTTTTTATTAGTTCATTCATCACAGGCATAGCTGTATGCAGTATGCTTTAGCTGTTTGATTGTCAGGTTTATCTAGACCTGCAGAAAACCTGAGAAAACAAGGCACAGCAAAATCACTCACAAGATGAATGGATAATTTTGCATTATGTAATTTAATTTAATTTAATTTAAATAGAAGCACATGAATGTAGTAATGGTTTTACGGGTGCCCTTTAGTTTATATTGTGCACTTACACGAGGACACACTTGCACAAAGACGGCACTGTTCATGTCTGCCTTTTCATATCAGTGATCTAGTTGGTGGCAAAGAAACGTAACAATGGCAGAAGAAAAACAACATGGATGGAAACAAGGCAGGGTTTAAAATGTATTCAAAACTTTGTTCCACCTCAAGGATATAGGCTCAGTGTGTTTTGGCAAGAAACTCTGAATGTAAACACAATCTTTGCTTGTTTACAAGGAAAACTCCTAAAGGCACATATAAATAATTTCTCATTCTAACACTTCAGTCAATTTTTCTAAACGAATGAATGAATTAGTGGTTACATAATTGCTGCTTGTCTTGTTGCAGAGGTATAAACAAAGAGCCCAGAATCAATTTTTTTATTCATCTTGAGGAAAATCTGCTAAAAACACAAAGACATCAAATCATTCTGCCATGAGAATAATTAAAAATTAATAGTTCATGCTGTTATTACAGAAAAAGGTGTTTCATGTTAGTGATAGTACATGAACTGTGTCTCGCTCTCCTCTGGCTTCAGCATTATGGACCATCTGTGGTCTGTCTGCAAACACACTTGAAAATAACTGACGGAAAAACTAGAATTCAGCCAAAGTTAAAACAAGACGAGATTGTCATTAGTGGCACAGCAGAGACACTGTAGCACATAGTGTGTGTGTGGTCTCTGGCTGCTGTTGTTATACTGCATCTGTATAATGTTGTATAGATGACAGGTGAAGTGAGCGTTCCTGGTCCTTTATACCATCAGGGAATTAATGTTGGACAAACTGAGTTTGCCTTCAACAGTCACAAGCCATTCATGTTGTTGAAATTTGTTGCTCTGGTGAATACAACAATTCATTTTCACAAACCGAGGAAATAATATTTTTAATTTCAATGCTGCAGAATTTCTTTATAAAAACGTGCATTTTCATCACACTTTCCAGCAAATCTATTATGTAAAGATATGAATAGTCATATCTTCAGGAAACAGATATTTTGGCCCTTGTTTTATCCAGGGAGTCATCACTTTGTCGACTTAATATTAATATTATTCTGCAAGAAATGTTTCTTTGATTTCTACAGCCTGTTTTCACTCGGTTTTGGTTTTATGCATCTGTAAACCACAGGAAACAGCTTTTTAATTTATAAAACATGCTGCATAAATAAATTAATAAATGAATGAATTAACCTAATTTTATGGGGTGAAACACACACATACCATGTGACCTGGCCTGTTCCGACGTTGATGCCACAAATCTTTGGATTCATATTCGACTGTGTCACCACTGCTCTCATCACGGCAAACTTTTCACCCAGGCCTCGATGCCTCGTTATGTAACCAAAGTTAGGATGAGGTGACTGTAAGTTTACTCACCCTTTTATGATATTTATTACGTAACTGTCACAGTCGCACCTTTATAGCTGCAAACCATGAACTCTTCCGCTCCACTTCCAAGGAGAAAGTTCCCAGACGATCAGCTGAGATCCCAGTGTCCTTCAGTCCATTTCATCACTCAGTCTGCGAGGCTTGACCTGTAGCAGCACTCCACAGTTCAGCAACTACACAGCATTTCACTACAGCTCATCTTTAGCTTCACATCATCTGTCTCTCTGATTTATATGACCGCCACATGCCCAAAGAAACACACACAATCCATGTGTGCAGGGAGGAGCAGCAATCTCCAGAAGTATAGAAATTTTCTTAAGCTCAAGAAATATACAGTAATGATATGATTTATGCAAGAACATGAGAGTGTAAGTGATACATGCAATCAGTAAGATGAGGAGTTGATATCTGTGGTGGAGAGCTTGATTAGCTTTGTTAATAACCTGCAGGATATTTTGGGCATTTGTGGCTCAGAAGGTAGAGAGAGGGTTGCCTACTAATTGGAAGGTTGGTGGTTCAATCCCCAGCATCTCCAGTGTATGTAGAGGTCTCCTTAGGCAAAATACTGAAGACCATATTGCCCCCAAAGTATCTGGTGTATGAGTGTATGTGTGAATATGGGAGAACGTGACTTGTAGTGTAAAAGCGCTTTATAAATGCAGTTGATTTACTTTTTTTTTTTCTTAGGTTGGATGATTATGTATTGCAGACACGATACTGATGATGGAGTTCCTCATGGAAGCATTCTTGGCCCTTTGCCTTTTTTCTTTGTACAGTGCATTCTACATCCTGTCAGCAATATAATGCATCAAATTTTAATTTGACAACTCTACTTCACTACTCTTTCGGTTACAAAGACATAGAATGATTTTGTGTCTTCTATAACAACACAATACACCTTAAATTATATAGGTAACTGTAAATTATCACAGAATAGCTAACACAGGTACTAGGGAATTTGATCACTACTAGCTGTCACAGCTACTAACCAGGATTTTGGACATCCTCCATAATGCAAGGTTTTTAACTAGCCTCCAAAAGGGTCTGTAAACATTTCTATTTTCTCACTATTTCATCATATAACTCTAGTGGTTAAACTACCATTTGTATATTTTTGGCCTAAAACATTCAGTTTTAATAATGTAGACACAAAATATAAACAGGCTCAAAAAGCTAACAATGTGTAATCTTTGTGTAACTCACTGTAAACTACTACACCTTCCCCAAATGTCCTGAAACAACACTGAGGATGTCCTGTCCTCTGTGTCCTCCATACAGCCATGATCATAATTTTTGTCTGTTTATTAAACCTCTGATGCACTCACTTCTTTAGTTCTGTGCCATTTAGCTGAGTGTTGCAATCCCATTGCAATGGTTCTGGAACTGTCAATATCAGCCCTGGTGAGTGCTTCTTTAGGACCGTGAATGTAACCTAACAAACTACAGAAAACAACAGCAGAAAAAAAGCAAGGACTTGTGAGTTTTAGGACACAAATGACATCTGACAGGCTGCAGTTCTTCATGCTTGAATGGCCAAGCATTACAAAATGAACTGAGGAGAAATCCAATCTGAAGGGAGGCTTAGATTAAACCATTTCTGCCGTCTTCTCAACTTTTATCACCACCAGAAAATGATGACATATTAATATAAATTAGAAAGACATATATGTGTGTTTTCTTATGTAAGGCTTTTCCTTACTTCAGATAAAAATAAAGCTTTTTCGAGGTGACAGATGAGTAAAAAATAATATGCAAGTCCATGTTGACTAAATGTTTTCCAGTGTGATTACAGAGTATCGTCACAGTACGTGGAGCACTCTCGGCTGCAACACATCATTCTCAAAAAAACATTTCTATCAACAAGAAACCAGCTGGAAATGGTCTTCTTAAAGTGGAAAATCCATACGACACTGAGTAATCAGCATGCTGTCAAATGAAGCCATTGATTTCGAGAGAAGAAGGAACATAAGTGTCTGTAAATTAACAAGGAGGCTAAAAGGGGCAGGCAGGAGAAGAAACACTACACTCCTCATAAACGGAGGCCATTCTGTCTTCAAAACATCTGAGGTATTTGTGCTTGGAAATGTGTGAATTGTCACTATTTAAAGGAAATGTCCAACAACCAACATTTACAAACACATAATTCCACATTTCCCCTCTTTCATTTTCCTCATGCTTTTTCCTGTTACTCTTTCGTCTCCTAAAATTATACTGTCATTATTCCACAGAATAATCTCTGGATAAGGTCCTTTTCAGAGGTAGCAGAGCATATTCACAGGAATAAATGAAAGTGGAGAGGAAGACGGTGGTTGTTTAGTGGGCGATGGGTTTCTAATCTTTCCACAGCCTCCACCTCTGAACGTCCAGTATTCAGTTCCTCTCACATCTCAGTCCCGTTGCACTGAATTAAGCCAACTCATTTTTCACAGGAAGCTGAAAATGCGCCTGTCTGCCAGGACCTTTATCTCACGAGCGGAGAATGCCATTAATGGCCTGCTCCACTCTGTGCTGTTAATCACATAGAGAGGAAATGTCTTTTTATGTGCTGAAAACCACCTCCCCTGAAGAAGGCACCAAGAGGTTTTGTGTGTTTTCTAAGTGACATGTCAAAATTACAAATTGCATGCTTTCCTGTCTTGTTTTTTTCTTGTCAGTCAGTGTGTGGTATTTGATCTTTCCAGCACCCAACCACTTTATTTGCTTTCTTGGGATTGACAGCAAAGAAACACTTAAATGTCAAACTAATTGTTGTCACTCAGGAAAAAAAAAAAAAAGAAAAATCAGCGAGATGACAGCCATCAAACAAACCCGCATGTCAATCCCCATCTTTGAAATGGGAATTTCTCTGTCTGTGTGTCTTCCTGTGTTTATATTATTTCTCGCTGGCTTGTAAGATTTTTTTTTTTGTTCTATTCTTCTTGTTGTACTTTCGTTTCTCACATAAACATTGCAACTTTTATGAGCGATTGCATAAACCAGTTCAAAAGAGTGGCACAATATGTCTGAGGAGCTTCTTATCTTATTAAAGTATGATTGTTGACATGTTTCAAGCAGAGCCCTTCCTCAGAGTGTGAACCAGCTTCTTTTATTTGACATACTGTAAATCATGCAGGACAAATAGTGTCGACTAATGGACAGATGTTTTTTTATTTATTTATTTGAGTTTGAAGATTCATTCTTGACCTTAGAAACAGCAGCAACAGCACAAGCTCATACTGTTATCAAATCCAATACTTAGCTCTCATGACAACACCTTAACCATCTCCATGGCAAGTGAGAAACACCATCCACTGAGGAAGGCCGAAAGATGTGGTCGAAATCTTTGGAAACAATGAGTAAGTTGGACCTTGTGTCAAGACTTTATTGAATTTATTAAAGTCTGTTTTTCTCTTCTGTATTAAAGGAATACTT